CATGAGTTGTCCATAGTGGTAATCCACTCTATGTGATCGGAGATCCCGTGAAGTAGAAGTGGGAGACAAGCTGTTGGTCAGCTGGGAGGAGAGTATCCTTATATTAATTATCCCACTCCGTGAAGATGGAATACTCTCCTGATCTGCATGGCAGGTTGATACTTATCTTAATGTGTTCCAAGTGGCTTATTCGGGTAAGCAGAGATGTTGTCCTGCAAAACATCTTTTGAGGAACACACCTATATGAATTTGACTGTTAACGTCGCAGTTTGTGAGAATTGGGTGTTCTCTAATAAATTCATGAAAGGCCCTGGAGTATGACGTATACGCTCCACCCGCGGGGAAGCCTTGCGGCAGTCCAGTATCGGTCAAGAATTTGTGTGAAACTAGTTTCACAGAAAACTTGTAGTTCAAGGCATAGTCCACTATTCAAGTTGTGATCTAGTGTAGCATAAATTTCTAAGTGGAAGTTCAACTTCACAGTCTCCACTAAGCATCGATATATAAAACAATATTTTAGAACTAAATGATGAGATGTGCCAATATGACTTTGTGGGGGATTGTTGGAATTTTGCTAGTAGGCCTTTGGCCCAAAGCCCAACTAAAATTCTGAAATTCTCTTGGCCCATTCATGCACACATGTGAGTGGAGTGAGTGAGGCTAAAGTTTAGTCCCACCCCGAAAGTTGAGAGAGAGTTGCACCTCTTTATAAGGTGAGCTCTTCTACCACTTGTATGAGCATGAGAAGAGGAGACCTACACGCGCGCTCCTCCTCCTCGCTCGCCTCGCCACGCCACGCCACGCCACGCCACGCCACGCCTTGTCACGACGCGCCACGCCTTGTCACGACGCGCCGCGGGTTGCGGGATTGAGCCGAGCCGAGCCGAGGACAGAGCTATGCACGTTGCCGCCGCTTCGTATGGTTTCTCACCACTGTTCCAGATCATTGCGCCGCCAAGCAAGTCTTCTCCATCCCTCCTTCCGGCGTGCACCGCGAGAAGGAACAGCAGGCCTCCGGAACCCCGCCTCTCGTGATCCTGTACGGGAGAGGGGCGATCAGGTTTTTGGGGAGCGCACTCGCGCGACTGCTGGCAGCGACGACTTCGCGAACGACGACTTCTTCCCCGACCTCGGCAACCTCGTCTTCGACGACATGGGCGACAACGTCAACGCCGGCGGTGCTGCACCCGCTGCACCGTATGTGATTCTATCATTCCTGTTCGAGATCGTGGTAGAATTCATACTTCTAGTATGTGCCCTAGATGTGATATGTTCATCTGCTATGCTAATTCGCATGATTAGTTTAATCTCTGCTGTTGTGGTCATGATTTATCTTCTATTTATTTAGATTAAATCTCGTAGTAATTTGCTCATATTTTCAACATCATGGGATCCTCGATCACATCGCAGAGACGATGCACATGAAGTGTAACCTGGCTAGAATTGCATTAGCACTTTCACTTGGGTAAAAGAAACGAAAAGTGGCTATCAAGATGGGCATGTGACATTGTCTCGCGCCATGCCCATGCTGGTCGAGGACGCGAGATCCGATCCAAACATGATAGTACAATATACGCTTGGGATTTGTCTCTTGCTTGGTTTCATGTGGTGCTCATTAAGCTGGCCACAGATTGGCTAATCAAGCCTGCAACTAGCACAGTTCCCTGGTTAAACTAGTACAGTTGCCGGTGACTACACCTGTAACCTGCCCAAATTACCCCTGTAAATTGAGCCATTGCCCATTGGTGATTGGTCTACCATAATACGAGTAGATCCTACAGATTAGCCCATCGATTGATCCCAAGTGCAGATGGATCCAGGTGAAAAGAGGCGTGAGAGCAACTTCAACGGGCCGATCCAAACGGACGGCGATTTCGTCCGCGTTTTGTTTGTTTGGGTCGGTCAGACGAACACGGATGTCCGCTTCCGCATTTGGGTGGCACCTGCGCCCAACGCTGGTCTACGACCCATTTAGACGGCGTCAACAAAATGAACGCATGCATATTTAAAAAAAAAGAGAAACTGCATTAATTAAACATTAAAGCCGGCCACGAAGGCCGGTGAGAGTCCACGCGTCCACATTTGCATAAAAAACAGCCTAAACTACGAGGAGGCGCGCTGCCCTAGGCGTCGTCGTCGTCGTCGTCCTCGGGGTCCGTGAGGTCGATGAGCGTCGGCACCGGCCCGGCCCAGGCGAACGCCGTGTTCCAGAGCGCTGCCATGTCGGGCAGTGCCGACGCAGGCAGTGCCGGAGCGGGGGCCTGTGCAGCCGCGGCCTGGCACGCCTCCTCCTCGGCCTCGCGCGCCTCCTCCTCGAGGTCGCGCTCGAGCATCTCCTCGTACTCGCCTTGCCGGCGCTGGCGCCACATCTTGAGGTAGGCCTGCTCCTGCGCCGGCGTCGCCCCAGCCAGACCGGTGGTGCGGACACCCACTCGTGCACCACTCCATTCCAGGATAAGCGCGCGATGGGCTCGGGCTCGGGCTACGGCTGCGGCTTGCTGGGGGACGGCGGGGCCACCGGCGGTACCACGTTGTCGCCCGCCGCGGAGAGGGCAAGGGCCTGCGCCATTGCCGCCTCGTAGCGGGCCTCCTCCGCCGCCTCCGCTCTGCTCCGTTCGTCCTCTTCGCTCTCACGGTAGACGGCCGCAAGGGCCGCCTGGTAGGCGTCCTCCGCCGTCTGGTCCTCCTCGTGGATGACCAGCGGCGTTGGCCTCCGCTCGACCTCGCGCACGCCCTGGCGCCTCACCTCCTCGTGCTCGAAGGCGAACCATCTCGCCCAGTTGGGCGAGTCGGTTGCGTAGGCGGAGTCGCGGCGCTGCTCCGCCGTCAGCAGTGCCCGCCGGCGCCGCACCTCCTCCGCGTGAGCACGAGCCGACCGCGGCGCCGCCGACACTGGGATCCTATCTGGATCCAGACGTCAGTCGTGCGGCAGCATCACGTCGGGATACGGCAGCAGCTGGCGGTTCTGCCAGTGCCACTCCACCTGGTGCACTGGCACGCTGACGCGCTGCCTCTGCCGGCGAGGCGCCGGCGGGGGTGGGAGAAACTTGAAGGGGAAAGGGGTGGCGGGGGACTTGCCCTTGGCCTTGCTGCCGCTGGCGCCGGAGAAGAGGCCCATCGTCGCTGTGGCTGCGGTTGCTGGGGTTTGCCGGCGACGAGGGAGCAAGGGTGGGCAGATGGGGACGGCGAGTTTCGATGAGGACGGCCCCGCCGCACGGTCGGCTTAAACAAGGACGAGCGCCGTCGCTGACGCGCGGACCCGTTGTTATAAATTAAGCTGACCGCGTGGGCGGCGGGTAGTTGGACGGCCGCCATTTGGTGACGCGGCGGATAGCGAGAAGGTGCGCGAAGCGTCCGTTAGGCGTCCGCGCCGATGCATTTGGTGCACAAATTTAGGCCGCAAATGCGTCGGCGCGGACGCGACGCGGATGTGGTTTGGGTTTGGGACGGCACGCTGGGCCGTCACTTTTGTGCACGCCGACTCAAACGGACGTAGGCGGACGAAATGGGTAGGCCCTTTGGAGTTGCCATGAGGGATCCCATCTAGATTCTGTCTGGGAGTGTGAGTACTAGCCAGTAGGAGCTGCCGAACCAGACGGTGCGGCCGACGGCGACCCCACCGTGCACCGTCCACTCCCCTCCGCCGTGCGGCTGTCGGCATCTTGGTTCCTGCACCATGCATCCTGGTCGCGGCAGCTTGGTTGTCTTCATCCGTCCATGCCGTGATGCCCAGGATGCAGCTGAGAATCACATCACATGCAGGTTAATTAAGGCAGCTCCGTCATTTTCACCCGCTCGTAGACAGATTGATGGTTTACTACAGTTGGCCTTGTTATGGAGCTGCACGTAGCTTAGCTGGTGGATACATACATCGGATCTGACGGGGCTAAAAATATCCGGCCTGACTGACGGGTTTAACAAGGAGAGGTTATGTTAGGGTTGCCGTCCCTGTCAGCACGGCGCAAGTATACAAAGAATAAAATGTTTTTAATTACCGTGCTGCATCGATCATCTGCTGGACGGCTTTGAAGTTTGAATTGGCAAGCAAGGCAAGGCCTGATTTTTCAGAGCAACCGCCTCCACTACATCCGGCCTAGATAATTTCAGAGCAAGTACAAAGACTAGATCTTTTATTTTCTACAGCCGGCTCTGAATTCGTATACAATTCATCTTCCAGCCTAGATATTTTCCCTGGATGGATTGGGAATTGGGACGGCGGCTTCTTGAGCCGGTCATGATCAGTTGATCATCTTCCTCCCTTCCTTTCTTCCTGGACGGACGCTCTCTCTTTCTTCTCTGCTTTTAGTTAGCAATAATATCCAGATGTAAGGATTTGATTCGCATCTATCTGCTTTTGGAACTTTTGAGCTTTCAGGTATCTGTTGGCATTGCTGCTCTGTCATCAGCACTGCCCTTTAGCCTAAGCCACAGTTCATCCCGAAAGCAACACGGCCATCTCTTAATTGTACTATACACACTCATTAATTCAAAGAGGAAAGGGGAGCTTTCTTCAACAAAATTTTCTAGTACTCCTGCTAATTATCTCTCTGAAGAAAGTTTCCTTTTTCCTAGTGTGCGTGCATGTAGATGTACATCAGACAGCAAAGCAAGAGAACAGTGCACTTTACACTTGTGGTGTAGATCCATGAGGCTGCTGCCTCAGACAGAGAGAGGTTAAGAGAGGTCAGATCAGAGCAGGTCCCCCTCAGCTTGATTCCAACCAGTGCAAGGTACTATACTACTACTACTACTCCACAAGTGTATGTGATTGATTAGTGGTAGGATAACTTGGCCAGCCGCGCACCCAACGCACCTGCTCCCTCCCTCTTCCCTCCCCACTCATCTTCATCATCAGCTGCAGCAACCCCCACGTCCACACACCCTCCACGCACCCTGTTTATCTCCTCCTCTTCTTCCTCTGCTCTGCCGAACACATCAGGAAGAAGGAAGGAAGGAGCTCGATCCAGAGAGAGATCCAAAGTCAACCATCGAGAGAGAGCATGGAGAAGTACGAGCCGGTCCGGGAGATCGGGTCCGGCAACTTCGGGGTGGCCAAGCTGATGCGCAACCGGGACACGCGCGAGCTCGTCGCCATGAAGTTCATCGAGCGAGGATACAGGGTACGTGCGTGTGTTCCTTCCTTCATGCGTCGTGGGCTGTGTGTCCGCGTATGTATTTTTGATCAAGAATCTGAATCTCGCTCGGTTGCAACGAAACAAAAAAGATCGACGAGAACGTGTTCCGGGAGATCGTGAACCACCGGTCGCTGCGGCACCCCAACATCATCCGTTTCAAGGAGGTGGTCCTCACGCCCACGCACCTGGGCATCGTCATGGAGTACGCCGCCGGCGGCGAGCTCTTCGAGCGCATCTGCGACGCCGGCCGCTTCCACGAGGACGAGGCGCGCTACTTCTTCCAGCAGCTCGTCTGCGGCGTCAGCTTCTGCCACGCCATGCAGATCTGCCACCGCGACCTCAAGCTCGAGAACACCCTCCTCGACGGCAGCCCCGCGCCGCGACTCAAGATCTGCGACTTCGGATACTCAAAGGTCCTCTTCTTCCTCTGGTCTCGATCGATGGAATCATAAATCTAGTACCTGACTAAAATGGAAAATTGATATGCAGTCGTCGGTGCTCCACTCGCGGCCCAAGTCGACGGTGGGCACGCCGGCGTACATCGCGCCGGAGGTGCTCTCGCGGCGGGAGTACGACGGGAAGCACGCGGACGTGTGGTCGTGCGGGGTGACGCTCTACGTGATGCTCGTCGGCGGCTACCCGTTCGAGGACACCAAGGACCCCAAGAACTTCCGCAAGACCATCGCGCGGATCATGTCGGTGCAGTACAAGATCCCCGAGTACGTGCACGTCTCGCAGACCTGCCGCCACCTGCTCTCCCGCATCTTCGTCGCCGACCCGCGCAAGCGCATCACCATGGCCGAGATCAAGGCGCACCCCTGGTTCCTCAAGAACCTGCCGCGGGAGCTCAAGGAGGAGGCGCAGCAGGCCTACTACAACCGCCGGCACGTCGACGTCGCTCCCTCCTCCAACGGCAGCGCCGCCGGTGCGAGCGCGGCGGCCTCCTCCAATGGCGCCGCCGCAGTGCCCGCGCCCGCGCCGGCCTACTCGGCGCAGAGCGTGGAGGAGATCATGAAGATCGTGCAGGAGGCGCAGACGGTGCCCAAGCCCGACAAGCCGGTGTCCGGGTACGGCTGGGGCACGGACGACGGCGAGGCCTCCGACGAGGAGGACGGCAACCAGGAGGGGGAGGAGGAGGAGTACGGCGAGGACGAGTATGACCGGACGGTGCGGGAGGTGCACGCCAGCGGGGACTTCGGCATGAGCAAGCTCCAAATCTGACGTCAATCTCTTCTCACCACATGGCGCCGCCGGCCATTGCTCCTCCACGTCGTTTCTACTAGTCCACTCTGGTTAATTATCTGTTGTAAGATTGAATTTTTCTTTTTATCAATTGTAACAAATTAGCTAATTAACATTAAGGTTTTTGTTCAAATCTCTTATGTCCGGGCAATGTGGAATGCATACCTGCCCTCGTCAGTGTGAGCACAGTGAATTGCTTAAGTACTATGTTTGTCTAGTCATCATGGTATTTTAGGTCAAAGTTTGCTCAATTGTAACAAATCAGCTAATTAACATTAAGTTTTTTGTTCAAACCCCTTTTGTCGTGGAAATGTGGAATGGGTGCTTGCTTGTAGTTCCTCTCGGTGAATCTCAGCACTGGGTACGGTAGTCCAAAATTTGTGAAAAATTACACTACATATAGTATAATTTGTTCTCAACATCGTCATGATTTCAACAAATAGTCTTAAAGATGTTAGATACGTACTTAGCATCAAGTACATAGTAAAATTTATTTTGTAATATTTGAGAACAAACAAATTAACGGTGAATGTCATGCTATTAGTCAATGGTCTGACCCAATATATAAGCAGTACTAGAACTTGTAAGACATATCTGACCATTGAAACACCAGTATAGCAGTATGCCAACGATTCAATAACAAGTTCCAAGTAGGGGTGCAGCGATAGCGGCGCGTCAGCGGCTCGTTCTGGCGGTAGTGGTGGTCGTTCGGTGGTCCCGAAATCTTGATGTACTCCCTCCGTTCCAAAATAGATGACTCAACTTTATACTTACTTTATACAAATTTGGGTCATCTATTTTGAAACGGAGGGAGTAATTTTTATTATGATCGAAATGTTTTGTACTTCCGATGGACTTTGTAATAGATCTGATGCTTTTCTAAAAAAATGTTTCTTAGGTCATCTCCAATGTAGGTGCTACGAAAAACATTCCCGGTACTCCTACTTTTTTTTTTTTTGAGAAATCCCCGGTACTCCTGCTAGCATGGGTTTTATTTCCAATCCAAATCTGGCACCTGACGCTTAACTTTGTGCCATGAGCCCATGACCTGAGCCATGGGCTAGTAATAGTAGTACTCGGTCCAGTGATTGGGCCTGTGAGCATAATTTGTGTCGGGCTTGGCCCATGTACGGAACCTATATGTTGAGAGTTTTGGACCCTCAACTCTTCATCGGAAGCTGAGAGATTTTTTTTCCTTCGTTTTTCTGAAGACGCGGCGCTGGGTGTTGCTCTGCTTGGCTTTTCTTTTATTTATTTTTTAAATTATGTCATCGTGTTGGTGTGTGCATGTATCAGCTTGATGTTTTAATAAAGGAGACCTCCTTTTTTTTCCAAAAACAAAAGGCAACCCTGCTTTCTGTACATTGATTTACTTGTTGGGTTGCACCGACATTTCTTTCTACAGTTTTTAGTAACTGGCGCATATACAACATGATTGGAAAATTGTTGTCAAGGATGGTTAGGCCAGGCCCACTAATTTCTAATAGGATTTAAACAGGTCCATAGAAGCTTTCTAAAGCCACTCCTGAAACCTACCGTGTCGCTGTGGTCGAGATATAGCTCCCGCGCCTGAAATCGCCTATAGAGTACTCTAGTAGGCAGGCGCGGCGAAGCGCGCCATGCCCTTCTAGTATCATCTTACAATCAAAGTGAAAACTTGCTGAAGAGCCTCAACTAGGAATAGTGAGGTACTAGCTAGCTGGGCAGGGACTCAACCTAGAGGGTACCAAAATGTAGGGATTGTGTCTTGTCTTCTTGTGACACTATTCATGTTTACAGTGTAAATTTTTAAAGGTTGTACACGCTTCCTTTGAACATCCACAAACTTTTTCACAACTTTTTTGTCCTTCAAAATTTGAGTTTCGTAGCATCTAAGGAATGGGTGCACCAGATATGCACCAGAACTTTTTCATGACGAAGTTGCCATGAAATGAAACAACCCCCAAAAAAAGACAACACCAGCACAGCATCAACACATGATATTTCCAAAAATTTGAACTGATGAGAAACAACAAAAAATTACCAGCTTGCTTTTACATACAACACCTAATGCCTCAGACTTGCGTTGCGCTCTCACAGGTAACAACATCTACTCCCAACCCACGTAACGTAAACTTTCTCCCAGCAAGGCAATAATTTACAACTGTAATCTGAGCATACAGATTTGGATTTGTTGTTTGCACCCTGTCGGTGAACCAAAGACGTCGTTTCTCGTTCAACTCCTCCCAGCCTTGCCTTTGCCTCCTCTGCCTCATGCATCCCCACACGACGCCTCGCCACCGCGATGCGACCATGCATAGAAAGAAAAGAATCATCATCTGCTCTCACATGAGCCACCCCTCATCCTCACCGCTGCTGAAGGACTCAATCATGTCACCACTCTCATCACCATCCCCGCCACCCATCATCTCAAGTAGCCCCCCTCCCACATCAAAGTCGCCTTCCTCATCATCGTCGTCGTTTTCATCCCCACTGTCCATATCCTCCTCATCCTCATCGTCACCACCATCATCACCGCTGCTGTTACTTGGATCATCCTCAGAATCCGTGTCCCCAAGCCCTAAATCGGTCCCGAGGAGGACATCCACGTCCGAGTCGTCGTCATCATCATCCTCATCCTCCGTGTCCCCTCCATCCTCCGGGTCCGAGTCATCATCAGTTGGTCGTTTCCTGCCAACTTCGAATATGCGAGCAGAGGAGAACATCTCGTCAGGATCGTCCATGGCAACAACTCCAAGAAGGGAATCATTGGGCTCAGTAGCAAGGTCGAGGACGCCACGGTCTATTTGGACGGTTGCAATGTCTGCGTAAGTGACAGCATCGATCGTGCGGAATGCAGGGAACAGGGGGTGTCTGACCCTGCGTGTGTTGATGGATGATGTTACATCCTCAAGGTTACGCCTGAGGATGGCATAGATAACATCACCACTTCCATTGAATTTAATTACTGTCTGGTCCAGGGAAGGGACACTCCTCAGAAGCTTAAACTTTCTCAGATCCCACACCTCTGAATTTAGGATCACCTGCAAAACAATGTAAACAGGAATGAGAAGATGTGCACAGTAGAAACAAATTCCCCCAAAAACAACAGAGTAAAGGAAGATTTTACAGTGACGTTCAGGAAACCAAATTTATTCACAGCAGTATTCCATCAAAACAAGTACGGTCATACACTTCTGAACTTGCACCAACTTAAAAATAAGCAATCAAATGCTGAACATCCTATTTGACACAAATACTATAAGAAAGTACTCTTGTGCGTCGTTCCCGAGCCATGTCATATTTTTTTACACTTTTCAGTGCATGTAAACCTACAGGCGATAAATATCTGACTACCATGCTTCTCTTACTATGCTTAGGCATTCTTGCAGTATTAATGGCACAGTGGCTCAGTTGGAATAGACTTCAGCTGGTCATGTTGTTGAACTTAACAGTAAATTTTATTGTTTTAAGCAAAGGCCAACAAGTTTGCTCAGAAGATCTCACACCACACTTGATTGGACTTGTGTCAGCTCTAACTTGTTAGTGTAGAATCCCAGAAACACAAATAGTGCATCCAAAATATATGCATAAATGTAACTTCGTGAGTATAATAGAATAACTTAATTTCCATCTAAGACTGTTGTGGTTTGAGAACGACAAACTGACGCAAACGTCATGGCAAGAAAAGTGGTGGCCTAGTGAGAGCAAAAATGTATGCCCTGATACAAGTTTGAAGGAATATAAATTGAAAGAATAATCAATTACTGCAGTCAAAGAAAAAGATTACCTCGTTTCCAGCTGGATGAAAGCCACCGCCACAATAGTCTGTGAACTGGTCAAACTGATGGATAGGAGTGGGACTTCGTCTATCCCACAGGACCCCGTTCCACAGCAACATATCATCTGAAGGACTGAAATGTATAATGGGTTGTACACCCCGGCCTGAACCTGGCAGGCTGGAGTTATCAGGAAGCTGCATATCAACATTATGCGTCTGGACATCATACAATAGAACCGCCCGGTGATTTGCATCCGTAGAAAGGCCGGCAAATAAAGTCCCAGCATGGTTAAACCTGGCAGCTTTGCAGTTATCAAATGTGTGCAAAGGCCCCGTATGCAGTGAGAAAGCATCAAAGAGCTTAACCTCATCTATGCTAGATGAGAGAATCAGCTCAGTTCCACCAACAGATGTTGAATCCACCATAGTAACAAGATTCTGGTGACAAGTGTGCGTCTCTATGAGATTTGCAAGGTTGCTGTCAAATATTCTTAATTCACCACTATGGTTCCCAGCCGCCACCCTTGATGCACCTCCAATAAAAGTCATGCAAGTCAACAGCGAGGCCTCATCACGGCAAACACGGCATGGCTTGAACCTGCTGTATATAAATTGGCGATCCCTGCGGGGCACTTTGATCCCGCTAAACTCCCTGTTTATCTCACGGCTTCCCATGCGAGCAGTTACATTTGCTGGTGCACTAATGCTGCGGCTAGGCTCGGGGCAAACATGAGGGTGCAGCAGAGAGACTGGCGGCAAAGTTGTTATTGGAGCAGGACATTGGCGGTGTTGATGTTTCAAATATTGTACAACCAATGAGTCAAGCGTCATGCGCTCCGAAGTTCCTGTTTGTTGATCATTTAAACCAAGATGTGGTGTGCCTGTTACCACTCCAGGTGTGCATTGAGAATCTTCAAAGTTCTCAGTGGAAATGTTGTTGAAGTTTGTCCTTCCTGGATGAAATGCTGCAGTAGGAGAATCCACTGCCACAGAGAGGCCTCTGCGAGTAGGAG